CATATGAGATCTTTAACTTCACGTAATTTTAAGTAAAATTATTACAATCAAATACCAAAAATTTGGTTGTAGATTTTTTTGTACACTAAGGCCATCCCTAATAAAAAAAAACCCGAATTTATCCACCTATGGTGTGATCAGACCCTTCTTACTTATTCAAGTTTATTTATTTTATTGTCATTATCAGTGACCAAGCTAGAATGTGAGCAGCGTTGGAAAAATTTCACGATATTTCACGAAGTTTATCAAGGAAAAAGTTCGTGAGTCCTAGTGCGTTTAAGTGAACTTTGTCAATAGTGAATATGAAGATTCATCAAACTAAAGCTGCTCGATGCTGGTCGTTCCACAATTAAATCCGATCTACGCAGAATGCACTGATAGAAGCTTTTCTAGATGAAAACACGATCCGTGTGTTTTTTGCTGTGATTCGTAGTTTTGCTAGGTTTGAAGAGATTCACGATTCGGACAATACTTACAGAATTTTTCGAATGATCCCCAACACCGGTGGGTATCTGTTTGTCATTTACAACTTCTTGATTGAATCCATGTATCACCAGTTTTATGTATGACATTATCTCACTAGTTTCGTTTGTGAGTAAACAAAGTATTGACCCGAGTAGTAAACCTTAGAAACGATCGGCAAAATGTCAACACTCAACAGTGATGCCGTTTTATATTATATTGTTTGTATCCAAATTGTCAAAGCGTGCCCTTATGTGCCGAAAAATGTGTCATGCTGTGTTTCAGCACAGTGTGCAGAGTTGATAGCCCCTTCCTTTATTCTTCATTTCTGAAATTTTGTTAATCAAATATCAATATACATACCCAGTTGACTCTTCGACAAATAAAAAGGGAAACTACTATTTCTTCCAATGAGACATCAGAGCATCTGAACATCAGAAATCCATTCAAAAGATTCCAAGTCCATTCGAAGCTAAAACAATAATAATTTATTTAGTGAAAAAGACGATTTGGGTTTGATGCTCAGATTGAATTCAAGCTGTTCAAAAGAAGGAAAAGATTATTATTCGCAATTAAAAAATAAAAAAAAGAGTAACATATTTTCCCCTTATTTGAAAAATCTGAAAAATCTTTATATTTTTCAAAAATCTGTAATCTGTATATACAGATATCTGTATCAAAATATTGACAAAAATCTGTATGATTTCAGATAAATCTGTATATGTGGCATCACTGCTGATAGGTAGCCGATGGTCATCACTCGAATTCGTGTTAATAGCCATAAAACCAGCAACAACATGAGCTACCAAAGCAGTATCAAAATACAAGCTGAAGTAAGCAGAAGCACACCGTGTCTACGTGGTCGTTCGATGACTCCAATTTCGGTCTAAGTGTTGAAAACAACGATCAACTTTAACTTTCGGCGTGTGGGGATCGTTTTCATTACAGTGTGAAAACTGCTAAGTTCCTCCGCAAAACAGGACTTAGAGGATTATATGTGTTTGGAAGTTGTTTTTCGCAAGTTGTAGTTTTCGGTGCTGGTCAAGGGCCAGCGAAGTAAGTCCATCGACTAACGGCACGGCGAGTATCGCCATCATTATGTAAGGGATTTGTAGAGAGGGGGTCTCATTACTTACAGGTTTTTACAATAGGAGGAAAGGATGACATTATCTTACATAACATATATAGTGGTTAGACGAGCATAGTTTGATCTATAACGCATTGTGACATAAAACCTGAACATATATTAATTGATCATTTTGAAAAGTGATAAGATTTTTTGAAAATTCTGAAATCTTACTTTTAAGAAGAGGGGGTTTAATTTAAAAGCTTACATTGTCTGACAAGGAGAGGAGGAGGGGTCTAATAATCCCTCAAAAATTCTTAAATAATTTGTGGAGGACAACAATGCCTCAACATTTTGTGTAAAATAACAATGTAGTGACGCGACCTTTTTGCAATCTGAAATGGTGCGGCTAAGAAAACTGGGTTTAAAATTTTCGGAAATAGATCAAAGTACACACCAAAAAATAATGAATTTTAACGTACGCGTAATTTTAAAAAAATAGCGTAATTTAAGTTCTAGCGTAATTTTATGCAATATATCGCGCACATGAAGTGTATCTCACTAATAATTACAAATTACACGACATCGCGTAAAATGTTACTACTTACATCCGAATTTTACGCTGCGCGAGTAATTCTCTGCGGCATCTTCTATGAATTTACACAACTTTTGCGTAAAATTTCTGGACGTGTGCAGAGTAACTGTCAGGAAGCAGAAAAATTAGTCTGCCATTTTTCTTGAGCGTTTTGGTTGATTTCATATTCAACAATCTTCGATATTTCAATTCTAAAATCTTGTAAATGGATGATAATAGTCATGGTTGGTTGGCGATACGTGATAATTAGTGGTTTTTTCCTTTTTTTTCGTTTTCCACGCTAATAAAAACGGATTGCTGTATGTTATGCTCGTCATGATGCCCAGACCGCCCGGACCGATAGAAGACGTTTCTAGATTGAATAAAGGGTCCTATTAAGTAGCAATAACTAGAAATGACGCTTGACTTTACTTACATAATAGTTATAAAAGGATTCTTTGAAATTAAATTGTGGAATGCTTCTTATATGATTAATAATAGTTCTAAATATAATATCTCCTAATTTTGAGTGATATTGGTTTGGATTAATTCCAAAGTCAGTCAGGTTTGGTAATACAATTTAATCCTTACTAAAGCAGACCATCATGAGCACCCAAGTAAGAAAAAATGCAACCAAAATTCAGAATAGGAGTAGAATTACACGATCGTTGAAAATTCTTCGATGATGGTTCTTAATTTTACTTGACTCACAAAGAGTAGCATGTAATTTTCTGAACACGCGTAAAATTATGCTAAGGGTGCGTTAATTTTTTGTGCGCTAGATTAAGCGTAAATTTACATGTTTTTTTTAACTGTGTACCTTACTGTTGCTGCACATAAATTCATAGTTGTCCTATATGATAAGGAAATCAATCAAAAATTGTACAGTTATGCTTGTATGGGCAGCTTAATACTTATAAGTATTCGACTAACAACCCATTTCATAACATCCACATGGTGGTTATTATCTCCTAGAAGCTTTCGTTTCTCACCTGAATTTCTCAATTATTGATCGAAATCAATGCTAACGTAAAAAAAAATAGCCACCACCACTGACACTGATGTAAAAGCATTTGTGGGTTGCTTGTTACTCAATTCATATATTACTACCCCTTTATACAAATATTATTGCTTTCTTACTAAACAAAATCGATTATATCTTTTTTTTCAGAACCAAACTAAAATTCAGCATTGTTCACTAGTGGCACTTATTAGTGAATTAGCAACAACACTAAGCTGGAATATCTTGCATTAACTTTATCGTGATATTTCATAACCAATTAACTCGAAAGTAAAAGTGGCTTATATCCTATTTTGAGTTCTGGAAATCTAAACATTTTCAAATTTAAGTGACATTATGACCATATACATGCTGCGGACATGAAAATTAATGTATGACAAATTATTAGTGCTTTAGAGCACCGCACACTAGGATCGTCTAAATAAACCCCACAGTCGCCATCACATTTGTACATACCGACGGACCCAGCCATAGTCCGATGCGGCATAGTTAAATTTTTATTTCCAGATAAACGAATTTTACAAGCAGTTCGTAAAAGTTTATAGCAAAAACACTAAAATTTCACCCAAACTGCGCTCACCGGGAGCTTGTAAAAAATTTAAAAATCAAATTAGTCTATTTTTATATTCATTAAACTTGAATTATGCTACCTTTCGTTGCGCGCCACACCAGGCCAAAAATTTGTAATTAAATGGCGCGTAAAATTGTACCGATTATACCACTGCTGCTGCTGCTGCTACTGGATGGAACAAAAATATCATTTCTGAAAGGTAAAAATTGCCTACTCCGGCGCTGCCATCACCACTAGGCCGTCAAAAGCGAAGAAACCCAACCGGGTAACCACATTAACGAAAAAAAAGAGAACCGAGGAAAAATGAGAGATTCATTCAATTATACAGCCCCTGACCGCAAGATAGGAACAATAGATACACACAGATCCAACAGAACGCGCGTGTTCGCTTCAAAGTCCACTGCAATTGTTCAGAACCCCAAAATTAACACATTCGACAGTCAAAACATACATTTGTAACACGGCGAACCACCGCCCAACTCCCCCGTAACTCCTTCCATCATCAAGCACCGTCTAGAAAAAAAAATAAGAAGGGATAAACGCCACTCTCAAAAATCTTATTGTTTCCCATTTTCCTTGCTGCTGCCTCTTCTTCTTCACCATTGCCATCTTCAACATTATCGACATCCCGAGTCCAGTGCATCCACCGCACGCTACATGTCCCGTATGTGGGGGAGGCAAGTCACAAAACTCACTGTCAAACAACACCAACAAAACAAGCAGCAAAGAACGGAAAATGTTTCCTCTTAAATGCTCTCTGCAACTTGGCCAATGTCACTTGCAAACATCAGCATACATACACCTACAACCAAATGTGGAAAATCATGCTCACAAAAGCTCCTCGTCACAGCATTGAATCAAACGAAAAAAATAAAAAAGGGAGAATAAAGGGAAAAAGAGAATAAAACAACCTTTTCGTGCATCTGCTGTGTATGTTTCGAGTGATGCACGCCTTCCACTAACCGGCTCTTCTATGACGCTGAGCGATCGCAAGCTCCGCCCCTTTTGTTTTACTCTTTTCCTTTCGTTCCTCTTTCGCACGGTGCCAGGCGCTCTACGGTGCACAACTTCGGAGAAGCACTACAGTGCGCTTGCTGTGTTCGTTTCTTTACTTTGTTGTGTTGGTGTTGCTAGTAAGTTGCTTTGACTTGTTCCGTTGGCCCACAACACCAACGCACCACGCTGCTGGCAAACACCCCAATCCGGGCCGTTACAAGTGTGTGTGTCGGTTAGCTCTCTGGTCCAAAAGCACTGAGTGGGTAGGTGTATTACACAACTATAGTTCAACAATTAATAGCTTCAGTCGACCCCAGGCCGTCGTCGTGGTTGCGCGGTTTTTTTGTGTGCTGCTTCGCAGAGTAAGAAGAGAGAGAATTAGTGCGGACGATCATCCCCGTCGTTGGTTGTTGTTTCGCTGTGTCTAACTGGGCACCCATGTGCTGTGCGTGATTCGATTCCGATTCGGATCTTCCTCTCGGTGTGTCCTCTCGGGGGTGTCCGCGAAAACAAAACAAAGTGCTATAAGATAAATCTCCTACGGTTTTTCTTGTGCTGCTGTTGCCCAAGCCTAGAAGTCCCTAATCGAGAGGTTCGTTGCCTACCGTATGTGCACGAACCCAGTCCAGCAGCCGTCGTCGTGTGGTAGATTGCATCGAAGAGCAGTGTATGTGAGGCCTGCTCCTGGTGAAGGATACTTTTCCCGTGTTTTGCGTTGCGAGGGAGTGTGACACCAACGGTGAAGTGAGTCGGCGAGAATCGTGATTACGGTTTCGCCACTTTAATCATGCAAAGTGTTAATCCATTAAAATTGTGAATAGCGAAATAGTAGCACCAGCATTGGCAGCTGAAGTCTATGGGATCAAACTGGATTGAATAAGACCCACTGGGCTTTTGAAACGCCATTGAATGCCAAATCCGAACCCCCGTATTGGTCTAGCTAGCGCGTTTGGGGGTGTAGAACGTTGAGTTATGGCGCTTATGCAAAGTGCGTACTGCGGTACTAGTTCGGAAGCTACGCCGGCCAGGCAAAAGATCGGCCACCGAGTCGAAGCGATTTGAAGAGAGTGCATCGAGGATTGTTTCTCAGTGACATCACCCGTTATCGAAAACCAAAACCCATTGTGAAGAGTGTAATACGTACTACAGATAGCGCGCAAGAATTGATATTAGTGTATCGTCAAATAACTAAAGAGTGAAAACTTGAATAACAGTGCACGCGAATCGTGCACCCTCTTGTAGTGTTTGTTTAGTGCCAGGTGTGTGAATCGTGCAAACTTATTGCAAGATGATGGATGCATCGGCAGTAGAAGCCCGCGGTTGGTACGACAACCAACGGCTAGCGGCGGAGAGTTCACTCGGCCCGTCGGCAGCTGCAGCAGCGGCGGCGGCGGCCTCGCTCGGGCAGCAGTCCGGTGCCGGCGCGGTCGATACGTCCGACATGAATGCATTCTATCGGTTCGAGAATGGTGCAGCGGCGGCCGCAGCGCACCGGCGGTACTACCCGACCGGCTACGGAACGCACGGTGAGTGAACCGCGAGAGATGAGCGATTTATGGCACTCGGCGAGTGTCGGAAAATGTGTGTTGCTTGCTGCAGGTGAAGCTATGTAGGCGGAAGCGCTTCTGTTGATGGATGATGAAGGGCTGACGCTTCCGTGACTTGAGATTGAGAAGCGTGTTGCAAAGATGATAACAACCGACCGACGGGTTCGATTGTATGGAGATAGCGATGCCGTTTTTTTTTTTTCACTCCACCCGAATACATTTTAATTGGAGGGTAACATACTTTTAGACACTTGTAACTAGCGTCACAAAGTAACGTACAGTAAACCTTACTTGGTGGTTTATATAATTTCATTAGGCGTGAGTATTACCTCATGAGACCACTAATAGCGCAGTCAGTTAAGGCGCAGCTATAAAGCAAGTCCAGATTGGAGGCGGGGTGGGATCGATTATCAACCAATGGATTTTATCGGGTTGGAAATTGTCTCGATTTATTTGGGCACGAAGCACAATGCATTACGATACACGAATGCAAAAATGGTAAAGGATCAGGCAACTGCTGATGAAGAGCAAAAAAAAGGTTTATGAGGATAGGTCGTAATATCTGAAGGAAGTCAAAATTACAAATCAAAGTTGCATATGACAATCATTTGTAGCTTTGTTTTGAGACTTAAAGCCATAAGCTAGTTCATCTCAATTATAAGATTGTTTATAGTTCGAAATATTTGACTCAAGTCATTTTGAAGGGTAAACAAAATCCTAATGCTTATTTAGCGTGTTCGTGAACTGCTTCAGCTATGTTTGTGTTCACTTGCGTTTTAGGTAAAAAGAGTATTTACTATGCTTCATGGAATACTGAGCAATCATTCTCAAGGCAACTTTTTACTGATACTTAAAATTTTTAGAAGCATCGTTGCTGTAGTGAAAGATTTTTTTTTTAAATCTGAAAAATCTGAATCCCTTTGACCTAAGTTTACGTTGATGTTACCAATTCATGGTTTGAAACAACACAACTTTAAGGAGAAAGAGGTCACGGAACATTTTTCAAAATTCTGTTTTGTTTATCGTTCAGAACGGATATTCTATGCATGGAAAGGTATTCAGTGTGTTCCATTTGTAGAGTTGAAGACATTGACTAAATTTTCAATCTAATTAATTTGGTGTGACACGAAATAAACAGCTTCTGATTTTTGAAAAATATTCTGCGATCCCTTGCACCTTACTCAAAGTAAAACTAAAACCAAGACTGTGGAGTTGGAGTCGGAGTCTGACAAATGTTTGGGCAAAATTAACCAGAATCGAAAAAAAATATCGCTAAGACTATTATTAAAAATAAAGTTAGGTGAGGACGTTGAGTTAGTCCACTCAATCATGCGAAAACCATTGTGACCAATTTCAATAAAAACTTATAAAATGTGTTCAGTCCATTTTTATAAGTTAGTAGCCTCACGTCAAATCACATTATACTTGTGCTCCGACTTAAAAATCGAAATGTATAGCCATATATTCAAATCTGTTCCATAATACACCAACGCTTCTAGTTTACCTTATCTGTATTTATTTAATGTGTTTCCAAAGTTAAACAAGAGGTAAACAGCGAGAAACGTCAATGCCACTGATAAGAGTAATCCAATACGTTGAAAGTGGTATACAGTTTATTTCTTTCAAAGTTGCCGTCGATTTCGTTTAACATTATGATGGTAAATTTTCACTAAAATTTGACAGATGGATAATTTCCAATTAAACCTTAAATTAAATTGTACTAGACTTATTTCTGACCGACCAGGAATCAATTTTGACTAACACCTTCTCGAAAATCGAACGATCAACAGCAGATGGATTTTCGAACAGTATAATTTATTTTCGAAGTGTCAAATTTAAGTGAAAATTTACCAAATGGAACACAGCCTTAGATCTAAGCAATGGCTCATTTCTTATGCAAAAGTTTGACACTTCAATCCAAGCAAGAAGCTGAAAATTCGCAATAGGGGAAATGACTCTAATGTTGGCCTATGGATCTAATATTGGGCCCATCGCTAAAAGTCTGCTATTTATCAATTTTATCTAAATGAACGCGTCATTAGGACGCTTCTAATGGATATTTTTGGTCGCTGTTGAAAGTTTAGTGGATTGCTGAATTTATGTGTGGGCTCAAATTAGAGGCATTTAGGCCGACATTACATCCATTTCCTCTAAGCAATTTTGATAAAATTAGTCATCATTGTGGTCAATCTTTTTAATTTGTACCTGTGCTTACAGAAAATGTGTCCATGTTCGTTGAAATTGGAGAAAATTGTGGTCAATTTCGTAAGAAATTGTGAAGCTTTTCTTTTGAAATCGTACCACTTTCTTTCAGAAATGTTTGCAGTTGAAACAAAGTTCTTTACGACTTACCATTTTCGATAGAAAATGTGACCTATTGCTTTTTTGATTGTGACAGATTGCAATGCTTTGATTTTAATTTGTTGTTTTTTTTTTTCATTTGAAGCTATGGAATTTCATTCTAAACTGTCGCTAATTTTCATTCAACAAGTATCCATTTTATTTGCAAAAGAGTTTTACCGATTTGATTAGATTAGTCCGATTTAATTAAAGATTGAGATATGTTTTGCTGAAAGTTATTAAATATCGTTTAAAGTGGTGATATTTTCAGCCCTATGTTGCGTCTAATTTCTTGGAGAAATTTTCGGGCAATTCTCGTAAGACCATTATCTCAAAAAAAAAAAATTGCCAGGAAAGTCCTTTCTAAGGTCAAAGTGGCATTTTTATGCTGATGCCAATAAAACAAACAATTGGGTTCTTTAATTTTGAAAAATATATCGGTTTTTATATATCATCTGAAAGAGCTTCGTTTTCTGAGCACAACGATATTTTGTTCGAACCTACACACTTTCATCTCGATTTTTAAATCAAGATTTAAAGCAAAATAATAACTTCACTGTTTGACACTAAACTAACAAACTGACAGCTCGCTCCCATACAAAGTGACACCGAGGGCGCTAAAAAGGTGATTTTTGCAAATGTAATAGTTCTTATTTAAAATAGTTCCAGTGTACCAAAAATGATGAAATTTTGGGTTTGGGTTCCATTTTTAATGCAGATTACGAATATGCATTTACCTCAACACCGTTAAATAACCCAATTGAATGCTAACTATAAACTTAACTATTTAATATTCTTGCTCTTCTTGTCTTCTCATCCATACGGAAAATAAATTTCTGGAATGCTACCACTTGGTTTATACGTGTTTACATGCATACAAAAATCTTCAGTTTTATAAGCATATGCTACATTAATTTTTCTGACACGATTTAAGGGGAGAAATACAAGTAACACGTCAAAAACTCGACGATTTTCGGAATTGTTTTGTGAGCATATGAACAACGCAACGGGTTTTTTGCATTAAATTGCTTAAATCTTCCTCAACATTTGAGTTTTTTCATTGGTGTGTGACCTCTGTGGCTCCTTGGGGTCACATCGGAAGGAGGTCGCCTCCGTTGGGGATTGGTAATTGGCGGGCGTTCTAGAGACCTGAAAAATGGACAAAACTTACTTTTATAAGTTGGACCTTATTGAGAAATGATTTTTGTTCTATGTGAACCTCTAAAACGCAACAAAAAAATTTAAAATTTAGAAAAAAATATCTGAAAAAAAGTTGATTTTTCACTGTTTTTTTTCCACTTTAGGCGGATCTGAAAATTATTTATTGTTAATTTTTTTTATAATATCAGTGGTTCACATAGAATAAAAATCTATTTACTTTAAGATGCGCCAGGTTTCAAGTCATTTGGATGAGAACTTTTTGAGTTATCTTTCCCGCCAATTTGGAAAACACCGTTTCGAGAAAAACGCGTTTAAAGTTTTGGGTTATGTAAAAACATGATTTCTGGAACTAACGGTTAATCGGCGATACCGGGGCCATAGATCACTCCTTCCTCATGCTTGCAGCATTTAAAAAAAAATTAAAGTGAAATATAAAAAAATCGATAAAAAAATTTTACTTGTATTTCCCCCCTTAATGAAAACAAACTATTTACTTAGATGATTTTAGATTCAGATCGTGAATTGGTGATTAGAACTAAAAATTGAGGTACAGAGAAAATTGTTCAAAGTCACATTTTAACAACTCTGGGACCTGTACAACGTTTCTTGATAGGAGTCTAAGAAAAAAAATCTCATAATTCTTGAACGAGGAAAATTTTCTACATGAGCCTAGGACTTCAAATGTCTATCTCGACAAAAATTGTAATATTCGGGGAGGAATTTAAAAGATGTTGGAATATTGTTTTAATTCTGGAAGAAGAGATGAACTAGCCTCTGGCTGAAAGTCTCGCTTATAAAGATAACCTAACCTATCCTTAATTCTGGAAATTGAAAACTCGAAGTCTATAAAACCAAAAAATTAAGAAAATTGTAGAAAACATATCATGAACTTGGGAATAGAATTTGATTTTTTAAGGTCTGGACTTGTAATTTATTTGATTCCAGATTACAAGTCTGAACAAAGTACATTTAAATGGACTCAGAAAAGAATTTAAGATTCTGCGACATGATTTTTTTTTTATGTTTGGACAAATACTAACGATAGCGAACTTCAAAGATTTTTCAAAAATCTTATCTTTGAAAAATGTCTAGACCATGAACATTTTCTTAGACCCATTCCCGACATATAGGGCTTGGACAATTTTCAAGATCACGAAGCAAAAAAGCCAGTACATTGGGATCACAATTTTCATCGAAATAAAATGTGTGATGAGTCTTTTACTCTTTCAAGATTACAGGAAAATAAATTTTAATTAGGGCGGCCACTACATTTAAGAAAACATAACAAAAATTCGGTTGCTCAACATATTTTTCCAATTCCATATAAAGGAAATACCGGCATGGCTGAATTCAACAAAAAGTGTCGCTTAAAAACATATAATATGTTTAACGCGAAGAACCAAAAAATCACCACACCCACCACCAAAAAACCGGAATTTTGAAAATTTAACGGCTCCAAGATCGCAACATAATGTCAA